TCAAGCCAAATAAAACTGAACTAAATCAAAGTCTGTATTATTTAAAGATGGCAAAATTTAAAAAGGAAACCGAGCATTTGGCAAAAGTGTCCAATTATAATTGTACACAAAATTTGATTTAGCTGAAAGTGGCAGACGGTTTGTTTCAGAGAAAATAACTTTTGACAGTTTAAAAAGTTTTAAAGGGTTAAAACAATAAAAACAGAACCTAAAAGTAGAAGCTATTTTTCAGCTTCTGCTGAGCACATCTCTCAAACACTCAATTAAGTCTGAGGAAAAAGAAAATTGTGCGGACTGCATGTTTAAAGTAGAAATGAAACGACTGCATCTCAATATCAGTTTCATTTTAACCACTTGGTTCCACTCCCCAGGTTTGCATACTCTCACACTGCCCTCCCTGGTGCTGCCCAGTTCAGCATAAACTCCTAGCTATAAACATGTGCTGTTTGGGTGATGAGGAGGTTATTGGCACCTAATGAGCCTCATAGCCCCTTTGGCCCCCGTTTCTTATTCGATGTACTCCAGATTCCCCTTTGTTTACTGTTTTTATTGCTGCGCAAGAGCCAAGGGACTGAGGCCAAGCCAAGACATGGGTTAGGTAAATCTGCTACCACTTAAGCTAAAGGAAAGGGAGGATGAAGAATTGATGGCCCACTTGTGTCCTTGTTTAAGGAAGGGAGTGGAAGTAAACACAGGGAAAGTCAAACTCAATTTAATGTGTCTGGTTCTCTCTGGAAGTTTGGCTGTCTGTAACATCTCTCGACCTGTCTCTTTGTTCCTGCACTCATCTATGCATCTCCTCCCTCTCCTTTTCCTCCCTCTTGTATATTTTAGTGTTAAAGCAAAGCTCTGCACAGAGCAGCATCACACCTTGCTTTGTGGATAACGTGGCTGTACGACAGGTGAATCTGAACATCGGGGAGTACATTTTTCTCCCGTGTTAGATTAAAACAGCTCAGCGTGAAAATTCTGCCTCCACACATCCTCGTCGTACAATTTGTCATTTTCTCATTACCTGTGGAAGGATGTAATTTGCTGTAAAGATGCTGCACCGTGAGACAGAAGCGTCTCTCCTATGGGGATGTCGAGCTCGTCCTAATGAGCAATGTGTTTGTTTTCTACATGCTTTTACACAATTTGCACAAAGAAAAGAATCCTGTGGTCACTTTTGTCCTACGCTGTTTCAAATCGTATTACTTTCTAATACAGAATGGCTCAGCAGTGTCCTGTATGATGCACCAGCAACATGAATGAATTTAAAGGCTTAAATATCACCCAGCCACTTCACTTAATCTAATCCAAATCAGTAGAATTGACACAATTTCACTTCATATGTTACAAACCGATTCACTGGGAAAGTGCTGAACAATGATGCGGTCACGAGAACTCATATATCAGAGGCAGATAAACAAAATCTACTTTGTGACCTTGAATATCACTTCAACCTTCAGTTTGTTAAATAAAATGAGATTCATTTGCTTTAAATTTAAAAGAGAATGTATTTTCCTTATATTATGTCAGATATATTGTGGTCAAGTGAGCAACATTTTAAATAAAGGGCTCAGTGTATGTAGGTAATCCCTGTAAGCAGAATGATCTGAACACTGTTTAACCCATTTTTTTTAACCCAAAGGTCCTAAAGACCGTCAGTGTTATACAGTTTTGTTTGTGAGTACAGCAACCAGAAAACGTGATGTAAATTAAATAAAATAATGTTGCTCTGTGTGTAATCTGAACATGCTTCTTTAAATGGGTGAGCTATACTGTAACCCCCTCTTTCTCATTTTATACACTCGATGTGCAAATTAGCTTTAAAGTAATTTTGATCAACAGCTGCTTTTACTGAAACACATGCTTAGACTTGCTGTCCCCAGCCAGGTGCCAGTTAGTTACTGGCAGTTCCCTTTCCTGCTTCTAAGTCGAGGTACTTTCCATCATGAACACGTTTCATGCAATGGCCTAGTGTCACCAAGAGGGGGCGCTTTCTTTGCAAAAACTTTGACTTACAGGGTTTTATAGCATTTCATGTTGAAAATATTTCTCTTGTCAAAATCTATTTATTACACACGTTTTGCTCTGAACTACTAAATATACTAAATATAATATTGTGTGCAGACATACTTTCCATGTGACTGTGATGTACATGTTTGTTGTGTCAGAAAATACGTCTTATGTTTGTCGAACACAAGTTGTGACTAACAAGTAAGTCAAACTTCAAGTGACTAAAAACACTGAACAATGAAAAAGAAAGCCACGGGACTGTGTTAAGTCTTCCTCTGCAGCTAATCAGATTCGTTTATGTAGCAATGTGTGAGCCTCAGCCACCTTCCCTTTCTAGAGCCCTGTCCAGGTGAAGAACTTTGTTGTTCTGCCAGGCAGCATAAACAGCTCAGACAAAGCAGGGTTGAAGCAGTGAGAGAAGGAGCAGGACGAGAGAAAGCAAAGACAGAACAGGGGACTCTGGGAGAAGCCTCAGAAGCAGTTAAAAGAGAAGAAATTAACGACAGATAAGGAAAAATTCTGATGAAAATTATCATGTAATGCAGGGATGGTGATTATAATGACAAAGATTATCATGTGCAAAAAGGATCAGATAAAAAGAAAGAAAATGCTGCAAAGAAGAAATTTAAGATGATAAAGATTCTTTATAGAATCAGGCACATGAGAAGCAAACTGCTGCGTAGGCAGTTTCAGAAGTATATCATTTCAATCAACAGAGATTACTTCTGTGTAGCGAGAATTATTTTCCAGATGTGACACAGTTGCATCCGTTTACTCATAGCCTTTGTTAAGAACTATGCAAGAGATACATAAAGGCTAAAATAGTAAACACCAGAAGACTTCTGCCTCGTGACTTGACTTGAATTGACTCGGTTTCTGTTGTTTTCCATTACAATGGCGTACCACCTCAATGTGCCCGGAGTCGTGACAGCAACACGGCCGAAAGTTCTGTGAAGAAACAGGACATGGAGGCAATATACAAACACCCCCACCATGGTACGAGTCTGCACCTAATAGCTGGACCATGCTGTGGGTTTTGGTGCAGCCATTTCCCTCGTTGTCGGGTTTCAAAAATGGCAGTGTTGACTTTTGTCAAGTCAACCAATCAGCACGATGCGGCCTGTTGACGTCACATTTTCGGATCAACTCAGATTGCTTGGAACCCCAGCAGAGAAAGTACTAAAACAGTACCTGGTACCAGGTACTGCCACCTAATGGAAAACCCTAAAAACCAAGTCGAGCAGACTCGACCCGAACCGAGTGGGTACTAGTGCAAAAGGGCGTTTACTTTTATGTTTGCAGAGGCAGATGGCGTGGAGTGAGGAGAAGGTAGACCCAAAAGCAGACGATGGAGGCAGAGTGAGGTGATGAACAGAAAGCGAGCCTTTTATTTGGCTGAATGAAAGTACAAACAAAAAGCACAGAATGACTAGGATGAAGCTAACGAAACCTATACTGGGAAAACTAAATATTGTATGAAACTAGAAACCTGAAAATTGGAAACACAAGGGAAGAAACACAGACGAACCAACAACAGAAGGAGGAAGACAGAGGACTAAATACACAGGAGGGTAACGAGGAAATAAGGAACAGGAGTGAACACAGCTGATCACCCACATGAGACAGTTCCTCCCTGTCAAAACAGAATACAGTAACACAGGACGCGGGACTGTCAAAGTAAAACAGGAAACAAATGAACATGGAAAGCAGGGTGCCACAATATTGCACAATATTAATAATCATCAGACCCAGGACCATGACAATTATTCTACATGTATGTCTAGACTTTGCTCATAATCTCATAATGTGTAAAATTTCTTGTAAAAATGTTTTAAAACCATTTGTTTCTATAATGTCTGAAAATGTGAAAATGCCTGCAATGTTACTGTACAGACAGGAAAGACAGAGGGTTGAAATGTTAGCTTTGCAAGAAGTTTGAGAATGAAATTGGAGCCTGGCTGTCCGCATCTTGCTCTTTTTCTGTGTTTGCACATTTTTAAAATAAACTTTTGGTTCAACTTTAGGATGTTCCAGCATCTTGAAGGACTTTACAGAGTTCTTCTGTGATTTTGGTTCCTTCTATCTTCTCAGAGGAATCCCAGAGAGATTCCATAATACTGAGGGTATGAAGATGATTCTCATGTTTGGGGACCAAAAGAAAGACCCTAAGGCCAGCTCGCCTTAGGGTCTTTCTTGAGCTTGACCATTGAGCTTAATGGTTTAAATTCAGAATTCCTTGATGCAATGTGGCTCTCTTATCATATCTCTGGTATAACTTCTAGATTAAAAAAAGGTGTTTTTGTCTCTCTGTTCTGCTGTGCATGACACAGCTGACAGAAGGATTTCAGTCACCTACAGGAAACGGCCTGTGATTATAAGGCTTTAAGTAACCTCACTTCTCTCGCTCCACAAGGTTGTTGGAAGTTAGGCAAAGTCCATAAAACACTGACGCCAACGATGAGGTTTCTTTGTGAGCTCTTCTGTCTGCATTGCATTATGGAACAGGCCTCCATTTGTTGTCATGGAAACAGACAATGCCTCTGACACATTACATTTACATGCTTTTTTACTGATGAGCTCTGAGTAGCTTTTTCAAAGCCAAAGCATATTTTAGCTGTTTGTGTCTCATGTAATGGATAAACTTTGTCAGCCAGACATGGATAAAAAGTTTTTCTCTCCATAATGAGCGCGTAAAGACAAAAATCCCAGCACAGCTGAACATGCAGCCCAGCATCGTATATTAGACACACCTGTCAACAATGTCCACTTCACTCTTTACCTCTGGCTAAATGCACGGGACAGCAGCTTGTGAATTTGAGCTTTTTGTCTTATTTCAGTGTTATGTATTTGCATTCATGTTGCATGTGTTTCTATTTTCCTACATATTGCATTTGTATGAAGCTAAAGGTAAACCAAACAAAATGTATTGATTTGCACAATCAACAGGGATTGACCTCTGCCCTCTCGTGACATAAGGTTAATGCCAGCTGTCCCATTGCCAATCTGTAATTTTATGCTGTGTCACTAATAGTTAAATGCTGCTCATGTTTTAGGCTGGATTATTGCAGGAAAACAAGTAATAGCCACAGATCAAAATCTAATGTTTTTAAAGGTTTCAAAATTGTTAGAAGCAATGATTTTTTTTAAATATAAGTTTTCCTGGTATAATGGAATATATATATATTTAAAAGGTTTTAATACACATCACCTGTTTTTATAAGATGTTTTAAATTATGTTACTAATTTCCGATCCCTTAGCCTTGTACCAAGCTACTGCTCAGAAATTATATTGGTCCGTATACCAGAAAAAACACTCCTTTCACATGTTTTTATGCTGTTCAGCAAATCAACAAATACAACTAGCAATGGAAGCTTGTGCTACAGCAGCTTCTGCTTTAACATACAGATATAAATATAAATAAAATCATTAACATTAAAAGACATGACTGGTTGGTCTTCATGAAGTGTTTGATCATTTTGCTATTAACGTTCTGTGTCACCACTAGTTATTTACACATCAGGATTACAAAGTGAAATAACTGAGAACTGGGGGTCATATAGATGAGAACAGGAGGGCGCGTGTTTGGAGGAGTGGTCCTGCTCCTGAAATTCGGATAGTTTGTCTCTAAATGTTCTACAGTTATACAATGTTGTGTTATGTTATGCAAAGCCATGTAATGGTAAGTTATATTAAGAAATGCTATGAACTGTTATGTTCAAATATTACAAAACCAAACAGGTTAGAAAAGTAGACAAAAATAGAAAAGGACGAGGCCAATTTTATTTTTATCGACTGCGGTACTGTTGTTACTGTTGTTACTGTTGTTACTGTTGTTACTGTTGTTCAAAGCTACATTATGCTACATTACGCTTGTAATGCAATGCTTTGTAGTAATGTTTCCATTTACTGTCTGTTTGTCTGCTGAGTACTCACCACTGGAGCAGTCCAGTCCTCCCCATCCTGGCTCACATTGGCAAGTATCAGGAGAGACACATCGTCCATGGGCACACTCTTCTGTGCACAGTGCTGAGAAGAAAGAACAACATTGAAACAAATGTCAAACAAGCAACTATAAAACATAAGAAGTTATCAAGTTCTTTCTTTGAGTCATAAAACCTTACATCAAGTCCATTTGTCATTTAAATCATAATCCCCGTTCCCTCAGCTTATTTAATTCATGTTAATATCTTTCAATGTTACAGTCTTTAGTGCAAGTCTGACACTATCCACTCCAGCTTAGCACAAAGTCTGGCTTGGAAATTTTCTACTGAAAAGTCTGTTTGGAGAATAATGTCTTAATCTGATTCTTCTTCTCTTCTGCCCTCCAGCAGATGGTAATGTTCATCTCATAATGCATATTTTTGTGGAAAAACAATGGAAGCAACAACAAAACGCACAATAACACCAGATCACTTTTAACAACCGGCTATACAATGCTGACAGTGCAAACACCTGTAGAACTCAGATACACTCTCAGGTGTGAAGAGACATATACACTAACTGCTGGTAATACGTGGTGAGTCTTTAATATTTATTTTATTGGAGACTTTCTTTTAACTTTTGTTGTTTTTTACCTCATATTGTATCTTAGGAATGCATATTAGGGATATACTTTAATATGTTCCTACTAACCGATGCCATAATATTATGCCTGAATAGTGTATACACTAGCACTCAACAGTTGATTACACAATCCCTTAGTGCAATGAAGACACAATAATTACTACTGAAGATTTTTTGACACTGTGTGTTCATTTACTTGTAGCATCTACTGTAACGGACGTGTAAACACAGTTAGTAGTGCTGCTATAGCCTCAAGCTCCTGGGAATCTTACCATACAATTGTTAGACAGGGCCAGCTACGTCTCTTAATGCATGAAACTCTATTGAGTTAGAAGAAGTACGCAAATTAAAATAATCATAAATCACAGATTGTTCAATATTTTCATGCATTTGTTAAAAGATTAAATATGTTCTTCATACTTTATTATTTATTTTTATTTCAATAGACACAGTAACAGTGCTATATAGCAGCAGCCCCCAACCTTTTTTGTGCCATGGGCCGGTTTATGTTCGCCAACATTTTCACGGACCGGCCTTTTCTAGAGTCCCAGAGAGCAGCCATTTGGCTTTTCTACCTTTTAAAACCCGCCTTCCAGCCAAATGGCTGGTAGGCTTTTAGCTAGGCTTTAGCTTCAGCCAAGTGGAAGCTAAATTGGCTAGTCATTCATATGTAAATTAGGTTGTTACCTGAGAATTCTGGAGGGGAGTGGGGGTGTGTGAATGATTGCTGATTTCTAACTGCCAACTGCCTCTTTGTTTGTCTGGGGGGGCTGCTAAAAGCGGTGAACTTCCTTTTGTGTTCGTCTTGATGCATTCTCAATCATCCAGGAAAATAAATCTCCAAAAGTCACCAACTTGGAGTGGTTAGTTTCCTGAGCCACAAGGAAACTTGTGTTTCAGTTTGTCTTCTTAGGGAGAAATCAACACACATGGGTGTATTTCCTTTATTGATAAAAACAGTACAAAAAAACCAACCATTTGTACACATTTTTACAAATAATAATAAAAAGTGAGTGAGTACATTTCAACATTTTCAGCAATCACTCACAATCCTGGCACTGCCATGGTATCTGTAGTCTGCATTTACCACACGTGTATCTGTAGCAGTGAACACATCGCACAGTGGCATGATTGTTCTTGCATTTGTGTTTGACCTGACACATGGCTCTTTTTCCAGGGATAGGTGTGGAGGGTTGTGTCCGAAGCAACTGTTCTTTTCTTGCCCTTTTCCCAGCTACATGAGAGTGAGCCAGCTCTCTTGCAAGCTCCACCAGGAAGTCCACCCGTCTTTCCTTCGTCGCAGATGAATACAACACAATAAAACCAGTACTGGTACCAAAAAATAAGATCTATTCATAACACAAACCCAGGGAAACTGAGTTAACGGTAAAAAAAATATCGCTACATAATAAAACTATTCTCAATGTTTTGCTGTAAAAACTGAAGTGATTAATGTTTTTTTTTTTTTTTTTTTTTTTACTAGTGCTGCTGCGTTAATGCGGTTACGGTGTTAACACCATTTTAACGAGATTAACGCTGACAGCACTAATTTAAACACATAAATATATTTAATATATATTACTATTCTTTTTTCTTTAAGGTCATCATGCTATGAAGAAATGGAATTTACTATGACGGCAGAGACTATTAACCAGTAAAATCATATTTACAAAAATATGAAAACAAAATCATTTTGCCAAGTTTTTAATAGAATAGATAATAGATAGATTTTATAGTAATTAATTAATTAAATAAATGAATGACATGGATCAATGTTAGTTTTCAGAAAGCTTACTCAACATAGTATAATACTATATATAATATATAATACTTTTAAATGAAGTATTATACCCATTATAACTAGTTTATATTGTAGGATGGAGGTATTGCTTCTCTTGTCTGTTGGTGTTCCAGTTGAGCTGTTTCTCGGTTGCTATTGTGTATTGTCACAATGTAACGTTTTTATAAGACCTCAGTATGAATATGCATTCTTACAGCTAATGATAATATCCTAATAAATTAAACTAAGACCACAAATACACAGGCCTAGACACCAGTTGGCAACTGTGTGGCAATCACTGTTCACTAGGCAAAAATGAGTGTAGGAGCTAAAGTTGATTATCTATAAGACTGTTTTAGTTTCTAATACTACTTTGCTTCAATCTGTCACATCTAGTAGCTGGAACTGGTGTGCAAAAGAGATAAAGGCAGGTGATGTTACTTGGAGGTGGAAGACACAGTATTTGCCCTCACATCCTCAGATCTGTCATGGAATCATGGATAATGTTTGTTTCTTTAAGGACATTAAATAACCACAACAATGACTTCCTCCTGGCCAGTTGCAAAGGTTGTTGAAGGTTGCTGGCATTCACTATGAAGCTGCTAAAGCCTCAGTCACGCAGCCCTGGAAACCAGTCAATGACTCCCTGGTAACTACCGGCCACTAAAAATAAAAAGGAAAAAAAAAAGACAAAATCCTTGATAGTGTTGCTTTTTTGCCTCTGTTGAGTATCTGCAGCAAATTAATGAAGGTTTTTCTTAATTTACATAATTTGTGTCTATATTTTTTAATATGCAGTGCTGTGCTCTGTACTCCCAAACATGACATTACCAGTGCCTGTTTGTCATTTTCCCCTTAAAAATTCTCTGCACATCCCTGGCGTGCTACTTGCTCTTTGACATCCTAATGTAACAGTAAGTCATAATATTTTCTACTTTGCTTAGATATGGAGATATTCTACCAGCCAGTCTAGCGTGCAAAGCGTATTATCTGCATTGTACAGCAAACAGATAAGGTAGTGCTGACATCTCCATTATCACCTTCCAACTGCTATAATATTTCATTGTGACACAACACTACAGTTGAAAGCCATCATGCACAATCTAAAGGTTAAAAAATGATTCTATCACAAAATAATAAATGATGCAGAGTTTTACAGGGCAACTGTGCGTCACTCTGGCATTATCTCATACAGCTATTAGCTAGAAGGTCAGAGGTGGTCACTAGCCAATGTTGCAACGAGAAGGACAAAAAGCAATGTGAAAAGGACAAAAAGACAAACAGTATGAGCAGTCAAGACAGAAAAACTGCACACTGAGCAGCTAAAACGAACTCTTAAAACACTATTTTAATGACTATAAAAAGTAATACATTAAACTTTAGATTAACCAGCACACTGAGATGTTTTTAATAGAACTTTTTTATCTTCTAATTATATCATTGCATGATATATCACACAAGTGGAGCATTTTTCAGGAAACCTAAAACTCAAGGCCTCGGTTTGATGGATGAAAAATTAAGGGAAGAGACCTAAACCCTTGAGTCGGATACAGTCAAACAAGTTCTTGCAGTAATATGGAGTAATTCTAGCACGAAGTGAGAAAGACTGTTAAAGAGTTCCAGTACTGAGTACGATGTTTTATTCATCCGGCAGTTTTTGGTTAAAACACCAAAACCTAGTTTGTCATTTTGTGAGTTTAAGGGCACAACACATAGTACCATATTTTTCGGAGTATAAGGCGCACTTAAAATCCTTTAATTTTCTCAAAAATCAACAATGTACCTTATAATCTGATGCACCTTATGTATGAATTCTGGTTTGCTTAGGGGTGGTTTTTGATTTTTGATTATCGATTTTCCAATTAAAATCGATTCTAGCTTGAATAACGCGATATCGAATCATTAAAATCCTGAATCGATTTTAAATATAAATTATTTTTTCCTGAAACGCCAGAATCTCAGGTTAAACCTCACAAAATTTTGACACTGATTCTGCACAAGGATCTAAACAAAAAGGGCGGACCCGTCGACGCATCAGAATCAGTGAGATGTCAGCTTTCTCACCCGACTGCACGTACTCGCCGTTGGGGCTGAAAGCCAACAGCTCACAGATTCTGATGCGTCGGCGGGTCCGCGCTTTGTGTTCTGAAACTGCAGTTTTGTCTCTCTCCAACCAAATTTGACTGAACCAGCAGCAAAAGAAGATCCAAACTACACTTCACATTTCGCTTCACATAAACATCGTCATGAATGCCCTCTTACTTTTATTTTCATTTTAAATTTCACTGACTTCCAACAAAAGAGGCCTCATTTTTGCTGTGCAATACAAAAGAAATGTAAACTTTTTCAGATTATGCAAAATTGCAAAATGCTTAACTGTGTCTCTAATTAAACCTCTGTAACTTTGCTCTGCTTCACTTCAGCAGGATCAGGTTGATTCATGGTTTTCTTTTGTTTTTGTTCCACTGCAGAATATTTTTAAGGTGGTTATCTGCTATAAAAAGACAGGCCACCTCTGATAAAGTCTCACAAGTGTGAGCTTCCTTTTTATGGATATAAAAATATGGATATGTACTGAAAAATGATCAGAATTATAATATTTTTGACTGAGAGAAAATTTCCCAGATTCAAATCGAATCAAATTGAATTGGGGCCTTGTGAATCAGACTCGAATCAATTCTAG